AGTTTCGGGATGCATTTAGAATAGAAATTAATGCAATACCCGGCGCTCTTCTGCTCCTTCCCCGGAAAAAATTGAATTACCTGCGGAAGGCTAGCTTTCAAAGGCAAGATGTTTTTCTCTCAAGGACTTCCACCGTATTTTCCCTGGCATCACAGCACCAAACAATTTCCTGAAATATTCATGACTCGTGTCTCGAAGGTAACTAGAAGTTGCGTTGGTGTTCATACGGACGAGAATGGGACTCGCAAAGGCAAGAGAATATGACAACTTTCTCGGAGATTCTGCAGAAGGCGAAGTGTTCCGAGAAGACACCCAGCCGCCCATGGCAATCTGGTTGAGGAAGGGCAAATGGTTGGAACGGGTCGCTCTACAGCTCATCGCTTTGTTCGCTTCATGGAGTTCCGAGGGCGTTCCGAGGGGATTCCGAGGGGATTCCGAGGGGATTCCGAGGGGATTCCGAGGGCGTTCCGAGGGTGTTCCGAGGGGATTCCGAGGGGATTCCGAGGGCGTTCCGAGGGCGTTCCAAGGGCGTTAAGAGAGAAACGTTCCAATCTTGAATAGGCAATGCGAATCGGGGACACGAAGATCGTGAGATGGGGCTGATTGCGTAGTGATCTTCGGATAATCCGATGCCGAGGGAGTTCCCAGAGGACGCAAGGATCGGATTGGCAAGGGAGGATTGTTTTCTTCTCTTCTACGCTGTGAGACATGAGGAGAAAGTTATTTCTCCATCAACACCCTTTCATTTTATATTAAATTGCAAGTGACAAATGGCACCCCTGACCTTCAGGAAAAAAAAGTTGATTGATGAGGACTTCGCCCGTTGTAACGTATCGCGATATATATGCATCAAAACAGTTCTTTTCTACAATGAATCTGCACACATAGCGTTGTCGTTGATCAGATTCCTGCTACCTCCTCGGACCTGACTACCCCGGTATAAATACTGTCACGGCTTCGGGCTCTAGCGGGACTCGTTGGGGAAGAGGCAAATCAAAACCCTCAGGCAGGTGACATCGGCAGAATAAGGGCGAGACATGGAGAGGGAGGGAGAGCGGCGTGGTCAGAGGATGAGCGGAAGAAGGTCGTTGGAGAATGGACGTGGACGGGAAGGCGTGGGCGGAAGACTTGTCGGCGGGAGGGCGTGGACGGGAAGACTTGTCCAGGAGGTCGGCGTAGGGTACGGCGGCTCGTGGAAGGATGTCACCCATGCTCGTCGTACATCCCCGCCGCTACCGCGAAATGAGATTTAAGCCGGATTAAATATATAATTAAATAAATATGGCGGGTCTGAACACGGGGACATGTCCGGCATGCACAGATAAGCTCAGGAATGCATTATTAAGCTGTTTAAGTCCGCGAGGGCAAGTTTGCGCAAGCTGTACGAGGTTCATCTTGGTTCCCTTCGTGAGTTAAGCTCGGGAGTAAAAGAAGAGAGGAAGATTGATCTCTTCTGCAGATTGATGAAGCCACTCAAGCCCTTCTGCAGATTGATGATTTTCGTCTCCTCTCTTCGACTCGGACCTAAGGTCGACTGCCTTGATACCCTTGATAACCTTGAGACCTCGTAAAGTTCTGTATTTACAGCGCCCTGTCATCCCAACGTAAACCCTGCAGAGACACCAACTTAGTACTCATTCTGGTACCGAGGCGCCAGTACTTATTCTAGTACCGAGGCACCTGACGCACGGACATCCACTCGTATTCGAATTATGGCCCCTCTAAATAACCAATCATACGGTGATCAGCTTAACCGGGACCGGGGTCAAACGACCCTAGCCCCACCTCTGGGCCGTTCAGAATAACAACTCACTCTGTTCGCGATAATACAAAAGGTCGACTCCGGAGGAAAAATCCAGCTTGTCGCCGTCAGGCCATCGGGGGCCCATGGAGGAGGTTGGAGGCATGCGATTCCCTTACGAAAATGTCCTATAGGAAACCTATAGTTATTTCTTATAGGAAACCTATAGACTTTCCTATAGGTTTTTGAAACACGAAAAACCTATAGGATCCTTTAGGATCCTATAGGATCCCTATAAGGTCTTATAGGTCTCCTGACCTATAGGATTCGGGGAGGATATTTTGGGTTTCGAAACCCAGGCATTACGACTAAACGGCGACCGGGGTTAATATGCAGCATTTCAGTGTAAATCAAAAACCGAATAGGGGCTTTTCCATGGTAGGGACACTTGTGTTATTAATACCAGTACTGCGGGGGGCTGCATAATTTATGACACCACCCCACATGCGTCCCTGGATTGTACATCTATTTCCTTCGGTAGGAAGAAGTGGTATTACTTCTCTCGACCTAAGGTAATAGAAGACAGAACCTGCGAGCACGTCTCTTTACTGAAACTCCATATGGATAAAGGCTACTCAGGTTCGTACGTGGCCTTCAAAAAGAGTAAGGGCATATTTCTTCACGGGATTCCATGATTATATCAGGAAGATGGGCATGACAAATAAGGAACTGTCAAAGTTAATTGATTCCTATAATGAGGCAAGGCGAGACATTAGGGGAAGTACAAAACTCTCTGCTGAGAGATGTTTCCTTGGGTAAGGGGAGGGCACTTTTGTGCCCTTTGAGAAATGTGACAACCCAATACTTCCATCTAGTGGCCTAGAGGAGAACTTCAAACGGAACCCTATAGGCCTATAGGGTTCCGTATAAGCCTTATAGGGAACCCTATAGGTCCTATAGGTCCTATAAGGAACCCTATAGGCCCAATAGGGAACCCTATAGGTCCTATAGAGAATTCTAAAGGTCCTATAGGAATCCTATAGGTCCTATAGCGAACCCTGCAGGTCCTATAGAGAACCCTATGGGTTTTATAGGGAACCCTAAGGGTCCTATACAGAACCCCTTGGGTCCTATAGGGAACATATAGGCCTTATGGGGAACCCTTTAGGTTCTATAGGGGGATCTATAGGTTCTATAGGGAACTCTATAGGTTCAATAGGGGACTCTATAGGTTCTATAGGGAACTCTATAGTCCCAAACTGAACTTTATGGGGCATATAGGATCCTATAGAATTCCTTTAGGTTCCTATAGGATTCCTATAGGATTCCTATATATTCTTTTAGGAATATATAGGAATCCTATAAGACATTTTCGTAAGGGTGGCTTTCCTCCTTTTCCCACAGTGAACATGAACTTGTCTTCCCACTCTGAATTAAATTCCCGACATTCCACACTGTCATCACCTTTACGTTTTCTCGAACTTGGCTTGCTGAAACTCATTTTTGTTCACGGAACGTACTGAAAACCCCTCAAGTTGGAACAACTGAGAATGAAAGAAGACATGTGCACCTGCGCATGAAGTTGCTTTGGCTGTTCCGCAGCTGGAGGAGTAAAAAAAGATAGGGCTCGACGCTAATCCCAGCCGGCTCGTTAGGGCCTTGGTCGAGGTGCCCCCCGTCGAGAAAGGGTTCACTTTATTGGAAGCAGATTATGAAACAAAACAAATAAAGAAAGTTCCAGGGCAGGATTATTAACTTCCCCACCTCCCGACCTCCCCCTCGAGATGATAAGAATCGCTGCTTTTGCTCGGCTTACCCCAGGTCATTTAGATGTGGCCCCTCCAGTTGCAATACAGCCAGAATATTTTTGTTTCTCCCTTAGCGCCTCGCGGGCCAGTTGGAGGCACCTCGCGGGCCACTTCTGGCCCGCGGGCCACGGGTTGGGCACCACTGACCTATAGGGTTCCCTATAGGTCTTATACGGAACCCTATAGGCCTATAAGGTTCTGTTTGAAGTTCTCCTCAAGGCCACTAGATGGAAGTATTGGGTTCTCGCATTTCTCAAAGGGCACAAAAGTGCCCTCCCCTTACCCTCAGAAATCATCTCTCACAAAAGAGTTTTGTACGTCCCCAAATGTCTCGCTTTGCCTTATTGTAACAATCAATATACTTCGACAGTTCCTTATTTGTCATCCCCACCTTCCAGATAGAATCATTGAGTCCCGTGAAGAAATATGCCCTTATTAATTCTGAAAACCACGTACGAAACTGATTAGACCCAATTCGAATGGTGTTTCTGTAAAGAGATGTGCTCGCTGGTACTGTCTTCTATTTCCTTAGGTCGAGAGAAGAATACTACTTCTCTCTACATCCAGAAGTAGACATCCAGCGACATATGTTAGGCCATAAATTATTCAGACCCCCGCAGTACTGGTATTTATAATGCATATCTCAAGGGAGAGCCCCTAATCGGTTATGATTTATACCGAAATGCTGCGCCAATATTAACCCCGGTCGCCTTTTCCGTCGTAATGCCTGGGTTTCGAAATCAAAAATATCCTCCCCGAATCCCCGAAATATATGTAGGGAGACCTATAAGACCCTATAGGGCCTATAGGGATCCTATAGGATTCTAAAGGATCCTATAGGTTTTTCGTGTTTCCAAAGCCTATAGGAAAGTCTATATGTTTCCAATAGGACATTTCCTTCAGGGTGGAGGAGGAGAAAAAAGAGATATAGCCGAAATGTCGGAGATTTTCAAACTTCGGTTCAATGAAATCCTTAAGGATGAGAGCGGAATAAATAGATTCGCTTTTAAATGGACCTGAAGGTGCTCAATAGGCTTTTCCACATATCTGTCTCTTAAAATGCTCAATATCCCTCTCGTTCTTGAAGAATTCCCTCTGCACGAATTGGGAAGGGGTAAGCCCATTTTCGGGCTTTTCACTTCGCTTGTTCTATGACAAGGAAAATGACGCAGATTTCATGCGTTTACGATGAGGAGTTTTCGAGATGAAAGTGTACGAAGAGGGGCATGCAAATCGCAACCGTAGACGTTTCGCCACGAAGCGTCTAGTCACAGTAATAAAAAAATTGGCTCCAAGGACCTCCATTGGGGGTCCTCTACAATAATTATGAGCGAGAAATTCAATCCAGGGGGAGTCCATTTTCAACCTTCTTAAGTACCTCAAGCATCTGACGCACACACATAATACTGTATTCTATGTTGCACGAGGCGAGACCTTCTTACCAATTTCAGATGGATGAGTAATATTTACAAGATTTCCTAGCCATCCTAATTTGGCAACTGCATGTAAAGGCGTATTTTTTTCAGGTACTACTACGAACCCCTGTTTTTCGCGAATGAAGCGCTGAAGCTGAACTTGCAGAAACAGTTTAGCCGGCTGTCCCTCTTCCTCCTGGAGAGCCTGTTCAACTGCAGCCTGCACGCCGTGGACGTACTCCTCCCCTTGGCGTCGCGGAACTCCGAATGGAAGGATGCAATCTACAACTTCCCGCCCTGCAACGACTCAAACATGCCGCAAGTGGCGAAGGTGATTCGCTTGCAGCTCGACCACCACGCCTTGGCATGGCTGAGATCGAGGGAGGATATCAAGGTGCGGACTCGTGCAGCAAACCGCTTCAAATTTTTGATACCCAATTCTCGTTCAAGTCTGGAATTTACCTCAACTATGTCGCAGGGTGGTAACTTTCAACCATGACGAGATTGCGCTGCGATATCACTTAGCAACTTAATCCCTCAAGCCGGTGTTTCAAATGCTGTGGAAATTTAAATTTACCCATGGAAAAAAACGTCGCTCGTACTGGATACTGCAAAAAGGCCTGAGGGATTAAGAATATCTTCAGAGAACCAGAAAGAGACGATGTTTTAAAAGCCATTACGAAGCATCCTCTTTCAGGTTGTCCACTGGCTTCGAGACCCTCGCGGTATAATCAATTCCAGAATGCCCACGTCGTTGCTGAACGGCTTTCAGGTGGATCCCTGGGTGCTATGCAATCATATTGGACACGACATACTCGCCATCGACAGTCTTCCCCCCAATCGGTAAAGTCATTTCATCGGGATAAAAAAAATATCTCACGGAAATTTGAATTTTGTAGAATCTCTAGTTTTTTCTTTATTTATTAATAACTTGGAGTAAATTTTCATCATAAGGGAAGCATTGCCAGCTATGGCAAACATGGCAACACAGTTAATTCATTAAAATGCCAAATTTATTACTGACAATTGAAAATAAGAGAATGATATTCTCCTCTGACGAGCATGTTGCGCTGTTGTATTAAAATCCCCGTACTTTACCCGAATCTACCTTTTCAAGTACTCATGGCTGCAGCTTTAGACTATTTCAAGTTCAGGGCTCATTAGATTCCTTTCTTTCCATCAATTAAAACAGCTAAGCTCTCACTCCCGAAACTCAAGCATCTCGATTCTTGTTATTGTGTAAAGTTGATTGGTAGGCAATTTAAGGTGGCGTCGCAGACTGAGCTCAAGACAGAAATATTAATTGACCCTTTATGATGGCTGCTTATGAGATACCGAATGGCTACCCCGCTCTTTTGTTGCATTCTTCGAGTTTGAAAGGAGCCTACAATTGAGCGATTCATGCGAAAATTGACTTTCGCATTTCCTTCCTTCAGAACGGCACTCACTTCTGAGGTTTTGAAAATACATGGTTGAGTACTGTAGTCATTCTTGTCGCGGGAGGAACCAAAGATATATTCATTCCATTGAACGGGCTTGGTTATTCTTTTCAACTCCAGCATTGCTCACCTATAAAACCACTTTTTAAATTCAGACTAAAGATTTCTTTCTTGTCCACGTGTTCTGTGGTTTTCAAATTTATTGCCGGGAATTATGATCTGGTCGACTGATTTTGAAGTTCAAGAAGACCTGAAATTTCTGGTTCATATATTCAAAATAAATTACAGAGAAATTTTGAGAATCTAATAAGGATGAGACTTACCATATGTAGCGCGAAGGGAAGAAATAGGAGACATGAACATAGATTAAATTATTTCTAGCATGTGCTTCTAACATTAATTTCTTCCCGATTACAGAAGGCGGAGAGTGAGGTATGAAGAATTCATGTCGAATCCGATCCAGGTCATGCGCGATCTCTACCGTTTCCTGGGGATTCCCTGGCCATCAGACGGAGACAAACGAATCTTGGCCTGCTGTGTAGAACCCTCAAGCCTGAATCATACCAAGAACACGAACGTATCCACGTTCGACCCCAACCATTGGAAACGGGATCTGGGAGAGAAGGAGATGAGCATAATCGAACGGGATTGCGGGGCTGTGATGGATGCGCTCGGGTACCAGAGACTAGTGGTGACTGGGCCCCAACGCGTGGAGGAAGTCGATGAGGCATTCAAGTTGGACCCCAATGAATTACCCACGAATGTCTCGTATTCGATCGCGTAGCCGAACGCAACAATTGAACGGAGGACAACGACCTGATTAAAAATCAGTGAGAAAATGTAGTGTGGTGAATATAATGCTGGGACGCTCCGATTTCAAACAACCCATCCTCACTCTTCTGGCAATAAATATTCTCCTTCTTTTCACAGAACGGAAAATTTTGCAGAGGATATTGATGTGTTCAAAATGTTGCGAAGAAAGGGCTTGGAAGTGTGTCGATTTTGCGGCAGGTATTCGTGTTCTTTGCCGTACGTGCGAGGTAGCAGCAAGTAATGAAGTTCTCTAACATGTACTTGTACTTAATTAACAATTTATAGGTAATTAATAATTCGGGATTACGTCCAATGGAGAAAGAAGGAAAAGTCGTGACAGATACACAATTAGCCTGCCCAAGTTTGAGATGGCAAATTTTTCATGTCCTTACTTGCGTTTTGACATTTTAATATTTTCCCACTAGTTCTTAGCAATCAGTGACGAGTGGACAGTTCTCCATATGTACAAAGATACTCGTCAAATTATCTTTTACTTTAAATACAAATTATAGTATTTTTTTACGAAGTATCGTATTTGTACAATGTAGCATATAAAGCTCGTACGAAGATACGCGGTTAGGTCTGAGATTGCATCGATCGGATCTGATGAGAGGAAGACCCAGATGCAGAAAACGAGAGGATTTCTTCTAATTCCTGATTCGTTACATTCAAGGTCGTTGTTTTGAAACAACGACCTTTAAAGCGCTTCCTCGGGGCCCCATTCCCCTGTCGCGAAAGAGGCAAATGCAGCACGCGGAAGGAGGCTTTTTGTTCTGGCTGACTTCCGAATTCAATGCTGCTAAGATGCTCGATGGCACGGGTGACATCAGCATTACCTCCGGTGAATATCGGGCCTCTACTTTCCGCACAAATGACAGCCTGGCCAACGGAGTTTTGAGCCGAAAAGCGGGAACCAATTGTGCGTTAATAGATAACGAGACGGCGTCACCGATAATGTTCGATTAATGATATTTAAAAAAAAAACTATTTCCGCAGAAGGGAAAAGTCTTCGAACATGGTGCAAAATTGAATTGTAATCGATTGACAGAAGATGAGAAGAAATTTAACAGATGTGCATCCAATAGAATCACTTTCCAACTCGATCTTTTCCTGGGGCCCATTAATCGTGGAAAAATGGCTGGATCATTAAAGTAATTGCTTTCATATGCTGATAAGACATCAGCTGATCCTCGATTTTATTTTTTCGGGAGCAAAATTGCTCATTTAAGTGATTATACTTTTAACCGGAGTGAAATCCCGAAGTTATAAGCAGGATTGGAAGGCGCTATTGATTTGCGACACTGTCCTTTAGTGGCCACAATGGGCAAACATTTTTTTTCTGTAATTTTTTCTCTCTTTTTTTCCAGTACTTATGTCCCTTTCTAATGAAAGAGTCCCACAGGAACATATAATACCATTTTTTTGTGTGTGTGAACTGGAGGATCTTCCCGCAGAACATGAGTAAATACCAAGAGGATATCTCCATCTCTACGTAAGGTGATTGCCGGCGTCCAGAACTTCCTGGGCAAACCAGGCTCTCATGGGGGAAAGGAAATAAATAAATTATATATATAAACACCGGTCGAAAAAATTGGAATCCCTCTGACCAAATATAGATCGCCCAAAACAATTCAGGAACTTATCGCTTCGTACTATTTGAACTAAGGATTAGATGTCGCCTAAATTTTCACCTGATTTTATGTATCTCCATTTTCAGCATAAAATTTTCAGTCGATCTGATGCAGCGATCCTCGAGATGCAGCTGCAAAATCGAGCG